CTGTATGTTGATGAGGTATATGGCCATCCAAAAGTAAAGAGGCCTCATTAGTTGCAATGGACTCAGAACCACGGATGCCACCAGAAACATAAAGATCTTTGTGGCTGTCCCCAGTTCTGTCCCATTGCATCCCACTGTCAGTGGCTGTAGCAAGTCAGCTGGATAGTGCATTATTTGAGCACTGTTTAAGAATTATCAGAGAACTATTAAATTTGACAATGACTGTTTCACATCTTCCTTGGCCTTATGACTGCAATAATTAGAAAACATGCAACAACATTGACAATAGATGACTCTGCTGTAGCTCAGGGAATTCCATCTTTCCTTCTTCCTTAGAACTCCTTTAAAAATGGATGTATTCACTTAAGCAGAAGTGATAAATGAATAATGACTAGGAGCTGGGAAGATGTATGTCAGCATAGACAGTAGTACCATGAAAATGTATTCAATTCAATGATTCATGTCTTGGCTTTTTTTAAAAGTATTCACTAAATAAAATTATATAGTAGAAGCAACTGGAATAAAGCTGTTAGGAGAGACAGAGAGTGCAGGCTTATGAGTGAGAACAAAGCCACCCAAAATATCTGAGCTACACAAAAGGCGTAACTTGGATAGAAATATGATATATTACCAAGTACTTTGTTAGTGTTACAGAGTTACATTAGTAGTAAAACAAGGTCAGTTTCTTCCAAATCATCTTATAAGACAGTACAGAATGTGGCAAGGAAGGGATACTGAGAATGTGGCCCTACACTGCAAGTTGGCAATTTACTCACCGTGTGATGTAATTATATTACTTCGTGAATGTTCCTTATTTCATTGTACAATAAGGAAGTAATTTAAGAGCATAGCAGGACTTATATACAGTTTATGGTCAATAAAAGTACCAACTATTACTATTATTATCATTCAAGTTTTCAAATTAATGTAGGCTTCACACAGAATAAATTTATGCTCAGGGTAGCAGGTATAGAAAGGTTTAATTATGGTTCTTTTTCTTAAAACAATGGGATATAAACCCAAGTCTTAAGAAATTTCATTGTGTAAACTGCTTTGATTCAAGATAGAAAGATCAGTAAAGATAATGGCAGAACACAGGATATTGCCAATATGTATGGCCATTAAGTTATGTAATATGAATCAGGGCCAAATGACTTTATGATACTTAATAATTAGCCAATATTCTTTCTAATATATTAAAAATAAACTGTGATGCAGACATTTTCCTATACATTATGACTAGAACAGGTTTTTTCCTTAATCACCCAGCTGCTGCAATGTTAAATAAATTAATTTTAATCTTAAATCAGAGATGTAATAGAGACAGGGTGATTTAATATGCGATCTCATTATGTTTGACAGGCTTATTTATAAATGATCTACCCCACATTTTGACAAGCATAGTTAATATGTTAATTAGCTTTGAAAAGATGATGATAGGAAACGCCTGACATACCATCATTCTTTGCATACTGGGTGGGGGGGGCATTGCAGTTGATACCACGAGCCCCCTCTAAAGCACAATGCCTTTGATGAGAAAATCACTTATTAACATATAATTTAGTTACCTGATATTAAAAATCCTTTAAAATAATCCCCAACAATGTTCTGTTTTAGAGAGTATGCACAGCTGCAAACACAGCTCTGGGCATGCAGAGAGGAACAGAAGCTTATTTAAAAGCCCAGCTCTGCAGAAAGCAGGACTCTACTGCCAGGGAAGAGTTATGCAGATATGCTGCCTTCACATCCATGCTCCCCTTCCTGTGCTCTTCAGACCCTGTAAATACCTCTGGTTCTGAAGCTTAGCAATGTTTTTCCATGCTGTGACTTTCAGGGAGGCACAAAACCCAAGAATTAACAGACATGTTACAAGAGACAACGCTGAATCCGATCTTCATTTAGGAAGAGAAACAAAGGCATCAAAACTAACTTGATGAGTCCTTAAGTGTCACTGGGCATTCACACATCTCCATGGTGCGGGTGACCCACAGGAGAAGCTCCTATCAGTGCTAGCTCTGATTTCCATCACATGCTGACAGTGTTACTGCATACGTGTCTTCATTAATATTTTTAGCGACTGTGTCTATTTAACATGGTGTAGGGATCATCAGTTTTTAGTTACTCCAGCCCCGGGACAGTAAACGAACTGTAAAACTAGCCTGAAACCCTGCCACCTGCCTCCCTGCTGCTGTCCCTGGGTTAATATTTGTATTTCTTCTTGGTGCAGCTGAGCCATGACTCAATTACAATCCCATTTCCAGGTGTCTGAATATCCTGCATCGATGTCATTGATTATGCAAAAAAAAAAAAAAAAAAAATCAGTGAATCAGTGGCCTGTGAAAGTCTCTCTCGTGGGAAAGACACATGCATTTTTATCTGACTACAGAATAGCAAAACAGGTTTTAGAAAATTGCTCAAATAAATCAGATTCACAATGACAGGCATAGCATAGACACAACCTAGATTTTAGGGCTTAGATGTGAACTGAAAATAAGCATGGGAAGCTGCTCAAACCTAGCATTTGCTATTTGTTTCTGGCAATGAATATTCTTGGCATAGACACACAAGGGCATTTGGGGGTCCACTATTTTCTACCGGATTTCCCTCTTTCTCTTCAATAATAGGCTTCTTCGTATGCTTCTATTATGTTTCTGTTCAAAGCAAATTGGCAGCAAGTGCCCAAACTATCTCTCACACACATGGGGTGGGGTGAGGTAGGGAAGAATAGAAAACAGTGTATGCCAGAAACAAACATTAGAAAGTCAGAATCCATCATGCACTTGGTACTTACTGTATAGAGCATTTTGCTTATCCCCACCCTGTGTGCGTGCATGCGTGTGCGTGTGCGTGTGCGTGTGTGTGTGTGTGTGTGTGTGTGTGTGTGTGTGTGTGTGTGTGTGTGTGTGTGGAGGCAGAGGTCAGCTTTGAGTGTTGTCTCTCAGGGAGCTCTCTACCTTTGTGGGAGGAGGGAAGTTATCTCACTGGCTTGGAGCTCTCCAAATAAGTGAGGCTGGCTGGACACTGAGGCTCAGGGATCTGATTGTCCAGCACACTCACAATTGTACATTGGCTTGGGGGATTGAGTTCAGGTCCTCCAACTAAGCAATAACCCCAATCTCTTAACATCATTCTGTTTGTGTGATCGACATAAGTGTAATTGTGTGTACATATTAGTGTAGGTGCATGCTTGTGTATCATTGAGAGGCCAGAGGTCAATGGTGTCCTTGATATCCACCTTAATTTTTGAAACAAGGTCTCTCCTTGAATTTGGAAATCACCAGTTTGGCTAAACTTCAGTGCCTGCCTGTCTCCTCATCCTTTGTACTGGGTTACATGTGTGTGCTACCATGCTAAACCTAAGTCATCATTCTTGTCCTCATTTTCTGTGCTGGGTTACATGTGTGCCACCATGCTGAACTTAGTTCATCATACTTGCAAACATTTCATAACTGAGCCATCTCCCTAGATGCACATTTATTTATTTAGCACAGGAAGAACAACTTCTTGTGGTTAGGAGGGTATAATCTTGACTAAACTGCCAAGCAACTGAGAAAAAACTGGCTCTACACCACAAACATTTCAAAACACATTTTATTAGTAGAGACCTTAGTTGAACTCACTGAAAGACGACTAAGAATTTCCATATACAAAAATAAATAGAAAAAATACTTTATAACCCAAGACTGTGATAAAATTATTATTTGCATAGCCAGCTCTTAACTAGGAACAGAAAGTAGCAAATGATTATTAAGAAAGCAACTAACTGGTACCCTGGTGTGTGCACTGGCCTCCATCTCTAACTTTCCCCATTATTATTAAGGGTCTAATTATCTATGTTGTCCAAAGACAGGCCTATCCTTAGGGGAAAATATTAACTACAGAAAGAGTAAATAACCATTTAAAAGCCAAGGCCAGGAAGTGTGATGAAAAGATGGATTAGTTCAGTTACTCGCCAATAGATGGTGATATTTATTCTTGGGATTTTAGAATATCATTAAAATGTGATTAGATTTATGAAAACAGATCTGCAGGTGTTTGATGGCCTATATTTTTACAGTTTTATTGAAAGCTATATATCTAGACAACTTCATATACATAAGAAGCTGAAGATGACTTCAATGGTTCCACAGAACACCAAACCCCACAGCTAGGGGGTACTTTAACACTCAACAAAGATTGCTTGTGGTAGAGTCATGAAGTAACTTCACAGAAGGAAGGTAAATAATACATACTGAAGTTTCACTGAGGCCATAAACATTACATGTTTATGTAGCTAAATTCTTAATTCAGGGGCATAATCACTCAAGAATGATGGCTCTTTTGTAAAGAACAACCACAAGCTACATGAATTATTTTACTTCAAACCCAGTCATGAGTACAGAAAAAGAAAAGCTATGCCCAGTGGCCATGAGTGACTCTCACCAGAGTGTTAAGAATCAGATTCATTCCCTTAGATGATTATGATATTTAAATCTCACATAATTGGGAATGCACAGCAGCTTGTCAGTATTAACAGGTATGCAGCAAATATTACCAAACATTCTAATACATTAAAAAAGATTTTAACAGCTGGAGAACTATTGCATGAAATGATTCTGAGATAATCCCATATTTTTAAACACTCAAGGCATTTCGTTATCAATAGTTTTCAATCAATTGCCAGAGCTATGTAGTAAATATGAACTCATGTCATGTTAATTCTTATTCTACTGATCTTTGGAGATACACACTTCCTCATTATAAAATAAAACCAGTACTGACAGAAAAAAATTACAGTACAGAAAGAAAGAAAGAAAGAAAGAAAGAAAGAAAGAAAGAAAGAAAGAGCCTCTGACCTTGTCCTTCAAGAACACTTAGAAGGTTCCATCTGGAGCAGACTCTGATGAGGTACCATTCCCAATCAGGTATTAAATAGGCCACAGTACTGCCACACACAGGCAACACTCATGCACCATTGATCTTTCTCCAACAACTATTAGATGTCTGTCTAGGTTTGGGCCAGACCAAGCATGCCACACTGTTTAGCTAAAGTGTTCATTTCTCACCACATGTCAAGGCAGGTGGAATATTCTGTAGAGCCCAGGAGAACATCAGGAGGTCTGTACCACAAGGTAACCACTTCATTGGAGTATGTGTGGCTAGGGACGGATTTTGCTCTTGCAAGACCTGTGGGTTACAGGAAACGTAAAGAGGTTAAAGGGGTATGAAAAGAACATGTGTTTTAAATTCAAATGTTACATTTTAAAAGGTAAAACAACACTACTGTAATTCAGATTCATGAATACCAAGCCAAGATTAACATATCTGAGGAAAACATATATAGTCTCTGTGCTTTTAAGACATTAATAATTATGATATAATGTATATTAAAAACAAAACATTTGTGCTATGGATTTTAAAATATCACCAAACAAAATCAGAGCTGTCTTAAAATTTCCCTGGTTACTTCATCTGCTTTGCAGAACTCTAGTTTGAGAGTTCCAAATTTGTACATCATATCAGTAAGGGCTCTTTGGCCAAATAACTTGCAGAAAAGATAAATTAAGAAAGCTAAAGAGTCCCAGCTCTACAAACGACCAGTGCTGCCAGTGTTTACATGTGTATTTTAAGGAGAAACTGTAATACTTTTCTTGAAGAGTTGCCCAAGAAGTTCTTATGGTGTGAGTGTTTCTCAAAAACTCACAAGTGGATACACACTGGGGGACATTATCTGAAAAACCAATGAGTTATGTAATTATAAAGCAACGATCAAACTGGAACATGTGGATGATTAAAGCTGATATCAAGTTGCAATGCACAAAAATTGGTAACATTACTTTAACATAAAATATGCAATTTGACCTAATAACTGAAATATTCACACACAGACACAGGACTGCTGTAGTGGGATATTCATTTTGTCTCCTTCTGTGGCACTGACCACACCCATTGCGGGGTGGAGCCAGGGGCAGAAGTGACCTGGAGAACTAGGTAGGAGGAGGTGAGGGAGAGAGCTCTCTTGCCAGCCACACAGGGACAGGAGGACATCCAGAGGAATTCTTGGATGCAGGAACCTGTTGGTGTTCACCTGTCTATGTTGTGAGTTATTTCTCCCTCAATAAATATCTGTTCGGCCTAATTGTTTATCCTGATCCTTATTAAACCGTGATAGACTGCTGAACAAATAAAAACGTGAATTCATGTATGTTGTCCATGGTTTACCTCTGGAATGTGTGATTATCCATTTTTAAGAGGATTTATTTTATTTTTAATTATGTATATGGTGGTATATGCACATGAATGAGGGAGGCCATGGAGGCTGCAAGAGGGTGTCAGAGTTACTGGACCAGGAGTTACAATTATCTGTGAGTTGCCTGATGTGGGTACTGAAGCCAACCATGGTCCTCTGCAAAGCAGTATATTGCTACCTGTTGAGCCATCCATATAGCCCTGCCCCTTTCATAATTTAGCAAGTTTTTCCTGAGCATTTTCCCCGCAGGTTGTATAAAATGACTAATTCTTTTTTGAAAAATGTTCATTTGCAGTGCTAATAAAGATAATAAGGATGGAACATACACACCCCAGCCCCTGCATGTGAAGAAAGCATACTACCAACAAGCTATGTCCCCAGTCTAATCCCTTAAAAAAAAAAAGATTTATTTTTATTTTTAACTCTCTCTCTCTCTCTCTTCTGTGTGTGTGTGTGTGTGTGTGTGTGTGTGTGTGTGTGTGTGTGTGTGTGTGGTGAATACTATGCATATACTATGTGGACATGCATAAGGGTGCCTGAAGAGGGCACTGAATTCCCTGGAGTGGAGTTACAGGCAGTTGCTGCCTGACCTGGGTGCTGAGAACTGAACTCAGACCTCCTGCAGGAGCACTAAGCATTCTAAACCGTTGAGCCATGTCTCTATCCTTCTACTTCTTTTAAAGATCATATACCTCACAATGTTATTTTTGAAAGTGAAACAAGTCATAATAGACCATTTCCTGACCTTGGCATTAAAGATTGATGCAATGCAGCATTTTAGACCTGAAATGCTCCATCATGGCCCATTTGTTAAAAGACCAGTTCAGTGGCCCACAGTGATACTGATAGTTGATAGACCTGTCCAGAAAATGAGGCCTAGCCAAAGGACATTGTTTCACCAGTCATGGTCTTGAAGGGGATGTCAGGGTGATAAACTTTCTCTCTTTGCTCCCCTGACAGCTACAAGAGGAGCAGCTTTGTTCACCTTGGACTTTGTCCTGTGATATTCTGCCTTTAGCATAGATCCAAAAACAACAGGGCCAGCCCATTACCAACTGAAACTTCTGAGACCATGAGCAAAGAGAAACCTCTCCTTCATCTAAGTTCAATAGTTCTGACAATTTTTCAGTTATGTGACAAATCAACACAAGTATAAAGCATCACTTGTCAGTACTATACTTGAAGTAAAATATAATACAAGGTTTCTGCTGTGAGCCTACTTTAAACATGTTCTTTTCAATGATATATTAAGATTGTCAGAGATGTTTAGGAACATGACTTCTTCCTGTTTCTAAACCATGGCTGCTAATTTTCTGGGTTATTGTAAACTTTAAAATTAATAACATAGTTGATAAAGACAAAGAATTATTAATTAATTCTGTTATCATTAAAGTCCATTTTTCTACAGTATAGTATTTTACAATAAGATGATTACATATGGAATTGGTCAATGCTCATATATGTCCCATACAAAAATGTATAGATATACAAAATGTACAGAAATATACAACAATGCTCAACTTACTACACCTAATATTCTATATACAAATAGAATTATGTTCAATCATATTCTCTGTAGCACATTCTTTACTCTCAATTCATACAAAACCGTACTATTAATCTGACAATAAAGCTGGGAAAATGTCTGTAGGAACTGGCAACCCCATCAAAGGTTTGGTCCTCAAACAACTTCATTTCCATATAGAAAACAAAGAGCTAAGGCAAGTCTGGAAATAGGTTCTGACTCATCCCATATGTGGCTGTCAAGTCAAATGGGATATCAGAGCATCCAAGCTAGATTCTCTTGCTTTTCCTAAGGCCTTATTGTCAGACAGCTCAAACAGAGATAGTAAAATGAGAAAATGTGAGATTTTCTTTGACAGTTCAAATAATCAGTCTACTTATTAAGTAGAAAGTGGTAGTTTAAGTTGGGAAAATATGAAACCAGAATATCCTAAATACAAGGGAAATCAAACCATTACATGTGATTGCAAGCTAAATGTTAAGTACTGTTGTTGGTTAAGTATTTGTGAAAAACACAAACAGAAGTTCATAGTCTACATTACTTTTTCCTGTCTCACACACTTAGGTCAAAGACAGCCCCAACTTCATTCAGCTGGGCAACAATGGTTTCCAAAAGAGCAATGAGGATGAACTTTCAAATTAAAAAAAAAAAAAAAAAAAAAAAAGTTCTTTTATTTTAAGAGGGTTTGTACATAGATATGTCATATAGAAAATTAGAATCTTTAATTTCAGAATACAGTTTTTTTCCATCTCTTGAGAAAAAGCTCTCTCACTCACCTCTCATGAAGTGATGTTAGTTTTGAAGGTGTACCATACATCAATGAAGAAAAATGTTCACTCGTAGGACATTTATATTCATTAAATAGGCAAAATAGACCCTGTGTTTTTTTTTCAGGAAAGCCTGAATTACTTAACATGGCTCCTTTAAAAGAGATAGAGAGAGAGAGAGAGAGAGAGAGAGAGAGAGAGAGAGAGAGAGAGAGAGAGAGAGAATACCCTAAAATATGATTTTTAGTGCCATTTTCCACAATCATTTTGGTAAAAACAACACTATGTTTTTGTAAAGTTCACAAATCAAAACCTGCTTACTCATGCAAAATTTATTAAACTGCCTCTCCCAGCTGAAGAAAAACTGCAGGACAGGATTAATTAGCACAGCATGTGTGAAAGCTTTCTCTCTCTGTTCCTGGACAGTTGCTATGGTTACACTACAGGAAGAAAGCTACACTACCTTTTAAAAAACATGAAGTTCATGGGTGATTATCAAAACTTCTTATATTAATGATTAGTCTGAATGGAAAGTGGAAAAAGAAAAGTGAGGTGAAAACCACATGAGGGAGCTTGTCTGCTTGGTGCATCATGGCTCAGTTTGTAATCCTGGAAGGGTGCAGGTTCCCAAGGACTCCTATAGGGGCTCTCATAACAAAGGGATATACATGGCTATAGTGCTGCCACTTCCAATGAGGGCAGACCTAAGAGTAAATGGGGACGACCTGCTATTCAGAACCTACTGCTGACAGTTCTGAGTTGGTCTACCACTATTTCGGTATAGAACCTCAGAATGCCAGAAGTAAATTAGTTTTGTAGCTAGCGATTTTCCACTGAAAGCATTTCCCTACCTCTACAATACCAGTAACTGTAAGAGATATTTATTGAAATGAAATTAATAGATATAGTAAGGCCACTTAGAATGATTGGGCTAAATACTGTTTGACAAACCCATTGTTGTTAATTAGACTGTGTATTAAATGATGCTTCGGCTGACATAGCAAAGCAAATTACCTGGTCCTGGTTCCTAAATTAGGCAAGCAGTTATATCTTCTTAAGTTCTGAGTACTCTGTAGGCTTTGTTTTTGTCTGTCTCTCTGTGTCTGTTTTGCTTGTTCTTTGTTTTCATTTTTAAATGAGGGTCTGAACTCTGAGGTCCATAAATTGGACTAATAGATGGCCACTTGTCAATCTAAGTAAATTCTTTCGGTAAGCAGCTACGTCCACTTATCTACAAATGGCAAAGACTGCATTTGTACTGAACAGCTGAGTAGAGTAGTTGACAGATGCTCTGTGACCCAGAAAACAACTTCACTTAGAGTCCGACACACTGAGTAAGAAAGGTCTGCTGATACCTGGGACAGACTAAGTGAATTTTAGTGCTCATGAAGTATAAACTGCAGTAATACCACTAATGTATAAAATCACACACACCCATCTCCTCAAAAACGTTCACCTCAGCATCTCTGCATCGCTGACCCTGTCCCATCTGTATGAGCAGAGGGCAGGAACGTTCTCAATGGGGCATGTGTTAATATGCCACCATTTTACAGCTCACTGGCTTATGTTTCTACTTTCGGCGTCTCAGTTTGTAAAAGTCAACATATTATTTTAATTCCAGATGACAGCACCACACAGCAAATGA